AATAATAATTTATAAATTATCAAGGGTTCGTGAGGGAGGGGAAGCGGGGAGAGAGGGGGGGAAAAGAGGAGCTGATACCAAGGGCTCAAGTGGAAAGTAAATGTTTTGAAAATGATGAGGCAACAAATGTACAAATGTGCTTGAGACACAATGGATGAATGGATGGATAGTGATAAGAGTTGTATGAGTCCCCAATAAAATGAGTTTTTTTTAAATAGGGTGTTATAAGAAAGACTAATACTGGAGATCCAATCTAATTTATGGCCAAATCAGTGAAAGTCTTAACAAAGTGGCATTTGAACTCCACTTTTTGAAATGGGAAATGGTCAGAGAGTGGATTTAGCTGGAGGGTAGGGGATGTGGCAAATAAGAGCTCACTCTTAGACATCTTAGTTTTGAGGCTACCCTAGTGAAGACAGTCAAGTAATTAGATATTGAGTCTGAAGCTCTGAAGAGACATCTGATCTAGATGTTTATTAAAATCTGAGTCATTGTAGGTGCATATACGACTTAAAACCATGAACATGGATGCAATAATTCAGGAGAATAATGTAGGAGAAGAGAAGCCAGGACCAAATCTATTTGGCTTGACAACACAAAGACTTAGCAGAAACAGATCCAGTGGAAGAGCCAGATACAGTGAGTGGAAAAGGAAACGGAGATGATCCAGGTAATATGTGTAGACAATCCTTTTTAAAAAAGAATGGGAATAATGTCCTGGAGGGAATACCTTATTAATTAACAAGATGTGGAAAATTTCTTTCACATAATACTCTTTTTTTCCTGGAAGTCAAGGATTGATTTCTGTTCAACATAGAAATGAATATACAATAATCATTGATCCCATTATGAAACCACTCCAGTAGGCAATATCATTACCTGACTCCACATCAAGGGAGTATTTATCAATCACCAAGTTCATCGTTTGGTAGGCAGTAGTGCAAAAGTCTTCCAGAATCATGTATACCACATTATTGACATCAGCAGCTACAGGCGTGGCAAACTTCATTCGGCTGTTAACCACAATGCTACCATTTCTGAAGTTCAGGATTTCCAAGTTCTGGAATCCCGTGAGATTTGATTGGAGATAGGGAACCAGCTACAAGACATTACAAAGGAGGAAATTATTATTTCTTGAACACACACTCCTCCCAAAAGGAGATAAGCCCCTCCCCGCTGTCCTGCTTCTATTTTTTTTCCCATTACTCAAACTGTTAATTAACAGAACAATGAATCAGGAACTGCTCGAAAGTCATGAGCTTTTCATAGTGATGTTCAAGGACCCAGGACCCTGGCAGAGCAATTTTACACATCCAGAAAGTTAAACTCCCTGTTTCACTCAACGATCACACCACTGAAGGCATTCTCCAAGCCAAGGTTGCCTTGTAGCCATCGTGGACTCAAGGCAACCCTGGGTTGTGTCAGTGTCAGATCAGAACTGTGCTCCACAGGCTTGTCAATGGCTGGTTTGTTTTCTTCTGA